ATGTGTGTGTGTGTGTGTGTGTGTGTATGTATGTATATATATATATATATATGTATGTATTTATATATACCTGACAACCAGGTATCTGTGTGTGCAACAAGCATCATCTACACCCTCAGAGTGAACATGTTCTACTGCTGGAGACACCATCAGCCAGGAGCAGCTTGTTTGTGTCCAGAGAAAACAGACATGTTGATGTTTCTGAAGAAAAACTGTTCAGTGAAAATATACTGATGCATGCTCAATAATCCAGGTAGAAAGAAAAGTTCCTCAGTGTGTAGCAGTGACCATTAGACACTGACGTGTCACTGGTTTGTAACTGGTCTTTGAACTGGAAATTATTTGTTTATTTTTATGTAAGAAAACTGCTTGAAATGGAAAAATACCGAAGTTAAAAAAATAAAACTCAACATTTGTACTGTAATGTGTAACGTAATTTTCTTCTTGTTAGAATTTATGCTAATTATAAAATTGGTATAGAAAAAAAGCATTGTTCAGGAACCGATATTGAAGTGAAGTTACCGGTATTGGTACAGATATTGAAACATTTTCAACGATAGCCAGCCCTAGACAACAATAATTCAACAAAAAGCAATTAAAAACAATCAAATAAGTTATAAACACAGCCAAATCAAGACACCACATAAAACAAGGTAAAAAACTAAAAATAACAACATATTTGCTTTGATATTTCAATTGACATTATCAAATGTTTAAAATCCCTTAAGGGAATCAAATTAGACAGCTTCAGATCGTTTTGCAAGGTGTTCCAGGACATCTGTGTTCTATCTGTTCTATGGGAATGCCTGTGTGATATCTGTGTTCTATACTGTGCAGGACATAGAGATCTAGCAGAGTGCTGTATGGATGTGTGTGGAGGCAAACGAGGGCACAGATAGTGTTGTAAAGAGCTTTGAGTATCTTGATTAGATAGAAACCATGTAAGTGCAGTCCATTTGCCATTACAGTTGCTACTATTCAAATACTGTCAATATATTTGAAAAATAAATGGATAAAGAAAATTTAATGTACACTAAAGGATAGCGCTGAAATAACATAGGTGAATCTTCTGAGAGTTGTAAAAGCAAATAAAATGTTCAGATAGTGGGGCTTTCAGGATCAAGTTACAGCTTATTCAAAACCCAGCTTTCATTTTTAAAATGAGAGAAGCGGCAGCATTAGGTAGAATGATCTTGTATTTTCCCTAATTGTCCAAAGTTTGGAGTTGGGCAGAGGATGAGGGGACTGAGACGTTTAGACCAAAGAAGATGTTACCCTTCAAAAGACTGTATTGGAGGCTTGGATGTAATCAGTCTGAGATCCTGTGCATGAGAGGAAGGGTCTGTTCTTCTTTAATGATTATATCTTAGATTATATCATCTTTCACTGTGGCTCAATGAGGCTAGCCTGTATAAATAAAGATTGAATGAAAGTTATGAGCTCCAACATAAATATTCTTGCTCTGAGACTTGGTAAAATGGAACATTTAGTAAAACAAAATTTCCAGTTGAAAACCCCACATCTGATGATTTGATACCTACCATACTTTAAGGTCTATAAGCTGTTAATTTTTTTCACAGGCTTTGAACCCCGCAGCTTATACAATACTGCGGCTAATTTATGGATTTAAAAAAAATTAATTTGACAGGCTAGCGAGCTTCCTGCCGCCAAAAACATTCAGCCTCGTCATACCTGGGCACTCACACAGCTGCCCAGAGATGTGTGTGTCTCTGTGGGGGGTGGGGGGGGAGGATTCCATGTGACTTTATTTTACTGTTTAACACCACAGAGAGGAGGGAGGGGAATCCCCCCTCCGCAGAGAACTTGCTCCATGGACCATGTCCGCGGAGGGGGATCCCCGCCCTCCCCGTTCTCACCTCCCGGTTTCATTGGTTCGACTATGACCTGTTCGGTAATTTCATTGGTCAGATTTTTTAACCCTTTATTTATACAGGTAGTCTCATCAATACACGTCTCTGATGGGGGGGTGGGTCCTCGTGACTCAGCGAGACTACCTCATTGGTTCATTGTGGTTGACTGCTGGCCACATGGCCTCAGAGAGGGATTATGGGTAAAATTTATGTTCATTGTTAATCATTTCAGCTAGCTGTTTAACATTGTTCTTTTAATGATTAGTCTGTTCTTGTTAGTCTAGTTTATGTTAATTGTGTTAGTTTGTGTTCACCTACGTTATATGTGTAAAGACTTCCGAACAGACTTCTGTTTAACTTTTTTCTTCTTCTTCTTTTGGCTGCTCCCTTCCTCAGGGGTCGCCACAGCGAACTAACTCAAGTGATTAGCAATTGTTTTCATGCTGGCTGCCCTTCCTGATGCAACCACAGACCACCGAGTTACCACAGCCCTCCATGTGGAATAGAGAGCTGCTATTTGGGGCACCCAGGTGAGCAGGTGGTGTGGGTTAAGGGCCTTGCTCAAGGGCACAGAGAGGGGCAAATGAGGGTGGAGGCAGATGTGGGTGTTTCACCTTTCCCACCAACATTTTGATGTTGTCAGTCCGGGGTATCAAACCGGCGACCTTCCGATCACAGACTCATCTTATCTAAACTTCTACTTTCCTGTTTAAAAACTTCTTCTTAAAAGAAGACTTCTATTTAAAAATAATGGCAAAAAAATACTTTAAAAACGTATTTTATACATACACTTTTCCCTTTTTTTAACAGATGTTTGTTATCGATCACAAAGCACCTGAACACATTTTCCAAGATTCATTCAACCTTTATTTATACAGGTAAATCCCATTGAACCTCGAGGACTCATTTACAAGAGAGACCTGATTTCAACAAATAAAGATGACAACAATGGACAACAGCAACAACAATAAACAGTTATAAA